CAGAATGGGCCTGCAACAGGTTTTAATAACAGTGGAGACGTTACTGCACTCTCTGGTTCAGCTACAGGTGACGAGCAGACTTTTTTTTTTTATTTTTTTGGCGAAGCTGCGTGTCTTCCTACTTTATTGAATGAGAAAATGGGAGGAAAAGTTCTGTGCTGCATCGCTGCTGTCCCTCCCTCCACAAAAAAGTAGAAACCACTGGATGAAAGTCAGCAGACATGCACAGTCAGGTCAGTTTTCCACAATCAGAATAAGATGATCAGATTAAGTGTTTYCATGCATGCTGTTCGGATTATTAATCGACATAAACCACCCCTCATTCCGATGACAAATTCATTCGGATCAAGCTGAATTGGATCAGAATGATCCGAATGGTGTGTTTGTATGACGCATTTTTATTCCGAATGGCCTTTTAATCCGATTACTTATGTCCATGTAAACGTAGCTATTGGGACTTCTGCAGCTCTCAGCAGGTGTTTTGTTCCACTTCTCATGAGCAAACTGCTCAGGTTGTGTCAGATTTGAAGGGTGCCCTTTCCAGACAGCAAGTTTTAGCTCCTTTTCAAAGATGCTCAATAAGATTTAGGTCACTCTCAGTCAAAACTGAGATTTTTAAGCTTCAGAGTTGTTTAAATCTCTAACAGATATGAATAAGTCCCTGGTCTAGAGCTGAGTGTTGGAGTCTGTGTCTGAGGAATGGTTGTTTCATGTTGTTGCGGAGAAAAGCGTGCAGCAGATGGTACTCACTGCTGCGTTGGGCTCGATGAGGCGCTGCTGCAGGAGTCTGGCTTCCTCCCAACTCCCGGACAGACAAAGACGCTCCAATTCACACAGTTCCTGGCCTAGCACGTTAGCTAGGGCACACACACCACCAACAGCACCTACACACAGCCCAGTGAAGGTACAGAAATTATTGCTTTTACATCACAAGTTTTATTCATAACCAAAACCAGGAACACAATATCAGAATTCATGTTCTTTGCCAGGTTAAGGTTTAAGTGTAGTGTARAACTCCTGGGATAAATGATGATGTTTTTTATTTGCTAAAAATTTGTTTCAACATAAATAACACAAATCAGTAAACTATCAAGTATCTAAAAAAACGAGTTCAGAGATTGAAGTCCGTCTGTCAGAGATCCAGAAAAGAAAATCTGTCATTTTTAGCAGGTTAGCTGTGGAAGAAATAGAGCTGCTAAAAGTATAAACAACTGTGTTAAATCATTTTCATTTATTCTGAAGCTGCAGCGTTCACTTGTTTGTAAAAGAGAACCAACAGATGTTTCTTTTGTGAATTTTTATCCATTGTTGATGACAGAATTTTCCTCGTTAGAAGCCCTCACTTCACCTCACCTGAGTACATTATGATTCATTCAGGGTTCCTATGTAATCACACACACACACACACACACACACACACACACACACACACA